CTGCAGAGTCGGTAATGACTGAGCGCAGATTAAAAAAAAAAAAAATAGAGGCAGACACTTTTAAAATAAACTTCTGGGTCCATTGTTCAAAAATATCCTTCATTATGCCCAATGTTAAAATATTTTGCTTCATTCTGTATTAGAAAGTTGAGTTGGAGTTTTCTTCTCTTTTAATTGTAATCTTTAATTTCTTCTAGTTCCCTCTAGTGTCCAACCTTCAAAGTCTCATCCTATCACATTTTTTTAAAGAAAATAATTCTAAACAAAAGCATTTTCCCACGGGAAGGATTCTTATAATTCCAAAATCTTATTTCAAATCTGTCTGGACCCTTAGTCCATTAGTAACTTTCCAAAATCAACATTCTAATTACCCTTTTGCTGTTTATTCCCCCCCCCCATTTTTTTAAAGTCTTTAAACTTGCATTTAGAACTTCTTTTGCTAAGGATTGAAGGAAACTCACCCAGTGTTTTCAGACTTGTCAATACATTCCTAATAGCTTACGAGCAGTTAACAAGCAATTTCTGAAAGTGGTTAGAAAAGGAAGTATGCAAACCCACTGTCCTTTTTGAAGGTGCCAACCATGGTTTGAGCAAAAAGATGACTATTCTCTCATTTCCCACAGCTCTAAACCTGCCAAAGACCACTGTTTTGCAGAATCCTTGCAAAGAACAACTGTCTGGAACACTTGTGGGTGATCTCAAGTCCTCTCCTTGTCAAGAGAGGAATTATGAAGAGATTATCTACTCGCTAGCTCTTCATTCTGCCACAGTTGTCGACTCTGCTTTTAGCAGAGCTCTCTTCAGTTCACCATTTCTTCCCCGGAAGTCGCTTTCCCTACTATGTTAGAGGTTGGCACAGGTAGAGGTGTGGCTTGACTTCCAAGTACTTAAGAGTGCTTGGAAGATAGCTTACAGCACCATTTCCCAATCTGATGCCTTCCATATCATGTTGGACCACAATTCCCAGAATTCCAGGCAGCATAGCCATAGGTCTCACTATATCTGGAGAACCTCAGATTAATTGGAATGTCATGCTCAAAGCATTCAGTCAAGAATCCTAGATTAAAGCATCTTTAGCTGGGGGAAGAAAAAGAAAGGCATTTCCTTTTCCAGATTCCTTTCCCTACTTAGAATCCTTCTATAAAATGAACCTGTTGGCTAGCTGTTTTGCTGCCATGGCAACATCTCCCAAGTATTATGGAATACCAAGGCTCCTTTGTTGGCAAGTATGGTATTACCCAGAGGGATCTCAATTAACACCTGAGATAGTTGCATTATATTACCTCTGGGAATGCTTTGAAGTGGAAACACATAGTTATGCAGAACCCAGATTGACCATAGGGAAAAAAAACACTTAAAAAGAGAAAATATATAGAGAGAGGTTTCTTTCCAAAATATCTTCTATATTCAAATAAAATGTTAGATAACAACTGAAAATGCAGATTTTAATTGAAATAATTTGCAAATAAAGCTAAAATTAATATTGCTGTGATATCTAATTTTCTAATAAGAGGAATCTTCTATTTGTAAAGGATGTAATGTATTTGCTCTAGACAATACAAAAGAGTACAGACGTGTTTTCCACACAAATTTGATCTTAATTTCCTTGGTTTGCTTTTAGTACATTATACTTGATTCACTCAGAAGACTAGTGAAGTGGAACTATTACTGAACATCGCTGAATGCTCAGAATTCAAATTACAGCTATTCCATTTGTTAAGAATCACAAAAGGCTCTGTGAATGCAAATAAAGCATTTAGGAAAGGGGTGTGTGTGTGTGTGTGTGTGTGTGTGTGTGAGAGAGAGAGAGAGAGAGAGAGAGAGAGAAGAGAGAGAAATTATGATTCACAGTTTTAAAAGGGATTCTAAACCATGTAAACAAATATTTTATGGAAACTGAAGGCATTACTTGCTAGCAAATCCAAATGGAATCAGGGTGCAAATCTTCAGCAATTCATTCCAAACAAAATTACAGCATATCGTGTGTGTGTGTGTACATATATATTTATACATACATACATACATACTGCCATGTATGTTGGACAACACCTCCCATCATCCTCAGCACCCAGCTAGGCTTGTTATCAATGCATCTGGAGGGGGCCAGATGGAAGAAAGCTCATTTAGAGCTCTCATTTATACTAAGAGCAGAGATTATATTTAAAGCCCGTTGCATAACGAAGGTTACAGAATGCATTCTATCTCTGGAATTATGCTTAATTTCTGCGAACCAGAAAACAGCTTATTTGGGGTGCCAATGATTAACAGACTTTGCAATCATTTGTGCCCGAACTGCTTTATTTTCTTGCCTCTAAGACGGAACCTGCTTATTTGGCAGTTTCTCAAGTTACTCCCCTCAGGCAGCTTGAGCCAGTAAAACTGGATCCTTTCATCTCTGTGGAGCTTACTGACAATCAGCCGTCTGGTTTCCTAGGAAACACAATCTTGGCTAGAAATAGTGAATCATTTCCAGGTCACTTTCAACATGGAGAGTGGAGCAGGAAGGCACTGGACTGAAGAGGAGGTTAAAGCCTTGCTAAGCGTCTGGTCAGAAAAAAATATCAGAAAGCAACTCCATGGGACCTTACGGAATAAAGGAATATTTATTTACATTGCTAAAAGGCTTCAGGAGTTGGGGATCTGCAGAGACTGGAAACAGTGTCGGGCAAAGTATAAAAACCTGAAATATGAATATAGAACAGTTAAATATGCCCACAACTCAGGAGATGCTACAAAGACCATGAAGTTCTTTCATGAGCTGGATGCCATATTGCAACATAAACCTGTCACCCAGTTAACAGAGGAGGAGAACCGCAGGTGTTCAGCAAATGACATCATAAATGGCACCAAGGAGAACAATGAAGGTAAAAAAAACCCACCCCAAACTCTTTTTCTTATTATTGTTGTCTAAGATACATACAGGCTTGTGGAACTCAAACCCATATAATGCACTGCAGATGACATAGTTGGTAGAACAAACTGACTTAATGCGCTCCCTTATCTGTGTATGTCTGTGGGGGGGGGGGGGGGGGGGGGGGGGGG